AGTCATGAGAAATTTTAAAGTTTATTATATATATATTCTGCTATCTGATACCATTTTTAGATTTTTGATTGTCCCTCTACAGTATACAAATATAGTATAAATTTTTATATTTTGTAGATGACAATTCCTAATACTAAATACAACTGGAAATTGATATAACACTTGGAAATTTGTGTATTTTTAGTAAGATCGAGTTTAACAAAAAAGGGCTGGGGGTAACACAATAGACACATCAGATACCTATTTATTAAAAGTGAAAAACTATTTGTTGAAATCTCAAGTACGAGTGTATAAAACAGAAGCCAGTATTTAATTAGTATTTAAAAAAGTTACACACACACACAAACACACACACCCTTACGTGTACAACCGCAATTCTCACTACACGAGGTTTTACACCTGAAAGTCACTACACTATGTTCCAGCAATGCTAACAAGATAAACAGACCATAACTGTGATTCTATGGGTCTTTGTATATGCAAATGAGGTTCAGAAAGATGAAAATTCAAATAATGAAAAAATGATTTTTCACCTAAAAGTCACTACATTTGGTCACGTGATTTTGCTCAATCACACACCGGAAGTTGACAAGTCACTACATGGCTTTACCAGGACACACACAGGAAACTCAGTACATAAACACTCTTGTAAGATATTATACAAGAAAATCACTACATTCAGTAAATTTTGAATGCGTTTCCTGTAAAAACACCAATTTTTCCAAAAAATTGTCGAAAATACATGACAATGTCTGCATGAAATCTGTATGCTATAGAAAAAAAAAATTGTCAAAGGATATCCGATAAAGTTAAAAGATAAAAAATTGGCTTTCAACATCTGTATATAGATTAAAATAATGCAAATGAAATGAGAAGAATAAATTAACAGTCATGACAAAGATTTAAAAGTATTAACGGCCAGGCACGTAACATCGTTTTTGAAAGTCGGGGGGGGGGGGGGGGCAGAAAATACAACTTAATACCCGAAAATCTTTGGCAAGCAAGAGAAATAGGTTAACTTCAAAAAGTTGAAAATCCTATTGGTGGGTTGAACTTTTGTGAACCCTCCAAAAAATTTCTTTACAATAAAATGACCGCATTTAAATACATAACAAAACAGTGTGTGTATGGGGGGGGGGTGTTAATGAACACTTTCACAGTAAATTAAAAATAAAACTTTTAAGTTTGAAAAAAGGAGGGGCCAAGCTACCCCTCCCCTCTGCTTTTACGTCGCTGACGGCAATGAATTGCCGAGTGTGCGTTGATTCAAAAATTGCTTCGTCAAGAATATTCGTTTTGGGTTTTTTTTTTCTGTTGCATTGAGTAAGACAAGTAGAAATTGAAAATCGTTCCCCAATTTTAAATGCAATCATTATGTTTTTTATGATCTTAAAGAGTTTATTTTTTTCTTAACAAGAATTTTATAGGATTACAAATTACTTAACTACTGTTCATGTAATAACATCTCGTTCTTTTTTATGTGGATGACACCACAACCAGCATTCAAAGGAAAATTTACAATAGTAATATAGTATATTCAGAAAAGGGGGGGGGGGTAGCCTCCGCGTTCTACGGACCTGAAATCAGGGGGAAAATAATGATCCCTCTTATTTATTCTTGCAATTAAATGACTTCAAAAAACTGAAATTACTTTGGTGGGGAAAGTCCACTTCATTGTTTTTTTATGCATAACATTCTATCATTTCATATTCATCATTTCATTTTCCAATTCAGCATTTAAAAATCCCATTGCTCAAATATGTTGGTCTCTAAAACCATGATTTTTTACGAAATGCAGTTCATACAGCACCCTTTAGTTTTCTTATCCCTTTGCTCAAATGTTTTACAACATTTTGAAAGATCAAACAAAAAAGACGGTTTGTTTGCATGAAACAATTTAATTGCATCAACTATACAAAAAAGTACATAAAAAGAATGCTGACATGAAATAAGATACACATGCATAAGCCAAGTGTTAATAGATAATTCTTGCTGTTAATTTTTAAGGTATCCAAAATAAGTTTATTTTCACAGAACAACCAAGGACAATCAGTCAGTATTTGTGCAAAATATAGTGACATTTTCTTAGTGCATTAAACAACATACAAGTTTCGAAATAAAAAAAAAACTCTTTAAGCTTAAAGCTGACAACCAAGCAAGAAATATAAATATCATGCAGTTAATAACTTCCTGTGTTTAAAATGCAACAAAAGGCCCTAGGCTTTGACTATTACCTGAGTATTATGAATTTCTCAGGCTGTGGTCATTTCAAAACCGCCTGGATCTAGAAATCTAGACCCATGCAACAAAAATCGTAAATTTTCACAAGAATTCTATATTTATTATCATATTGATGCAGCTGAACTCCTAGAAGTTCAAAAGTAAAGAGGATAAGGTATACTGGCTAATACTGTATAAAACATTCTAATTTATGACTAACTCTGCCTTTTCATGGGCCTGAAACATGAAGAAGCTTTCAATTAGAGGGCTAAGCATTAATTAAGATTAATTTTAGAGGTCCATGTTTGCTCTGCTACGAATATGGATTATTCTAATGGACTTTTGAGTTTGATTACTATTCATAATCTTCATATTTAATTTTATGCCTGCTAGTTTGCCTGCTAGATGTTCACCAGTAAAGGATTTTTTAAAACTTCAATTTACAGCCCATAGCAAGGGTTTCAAAAGTACGGGGGACTTCAAAAAATATCTGACAAGCAAAAAAAAACACTATTTACTGAACCGACCTTATTGCAACAAAAAGGGGGGGGGGGAGGGGCAACCAGGATATAAAGGATACTTTACTATAGCAAAATACTATACTCAGAAAAAGTGGGGGGGGGGGGGGGTTCTATGGGCCTGTTGCAGTGTCAATATAAATAGGTAAACCTTGCATGAACAATGGGTCATGAGCGATAAATTTCACAAATTCTGGTTAAAAAATAATTACTTGCTTAAATTATGCAAACAGCTGTCTGCTACATGTCCATGGAAAAAATTTATAGGATATATTTTTTCAATATTCAGCTCCATCCTGAACCTATATGCAAAAATGAATCTCACAATTTTTTGTACTTAAAGAGCTATGGGCTTATATGATATGCATACCATCAACTGCCTGCTGGCAAAACTTCTCACAAAAGAGACATGAATGTTTTTTATTATCATAGTTCCCAGACGATGTTTTTGGCCTCTAAAAACGTGGTCTTTCGCTTCTCTGACTGTGGTAAAACTTTGCCGACATCATCATGATCATCTTCACATTCACTGTCCTTTTCACTGTCACTTGCAAGTGCAGCTTGTTTCTGCTGCATTTCAGATTTGAAAGGCTTACTGGGCATATCTGAAATTATTATATATGTACATGTATTGACAAAAGGGATTCATCTTTATTTTTATAGAAGAGGCCAATGGGCCACATGGCTCACCCAAGTCACAATGGCCCTGCACATTCCCCCCCCCCCCTCCTATATATCCCTATGTAAAGCTTTGATTGCCTATTATGGCCTCATCTTACCCATTCAAACCTAATGAAGAGGTATGAAAGTTGTTTTTCCATACTTCAATCTGTTAGGCATGATTGAAACACTCTATGTAAGCTCCTTATGGAGATATTTATAATTTATAATGCTGGCTAATGAACATCATGTTCATGTGATGCAAAGGAAAGTAATTTATTTAAAATGAATTTTGTCAATTTATCAGACTGTGATCATGTCTGGAGAAAAAAACAACTTATGGAATTAATCCTTAACTGTAATAAAGAAACAGTCATACTTAAAATTCAAGACAGAAATTCTGCCAGAATTTTAATTCACTTTAAACAATCTACATATTGTACAATGTAATACATAACACCTTATACAAGAGGCCCATGGTCCATGACACCTGAGCCCTTTTGCAAGAGAAAAGCAGAAATCAGTTCAGTATTGGAAAGTTAGAGTAATTATACAATTGGTGCCACCCTATGCCCTGTGGGTGATGATTTGAACAAACCTGAAACTACTTTTCCCATCCTACCCCTTGATGTTACGATTTGAAGAAATTTGAATGTACACTACCTGAAAAATACTCCTGTATTAATATAACAAATCATGGCTTTGCTGTTCTTGAGAAGAAGGCCTTTAAAGACATTTTCTGTATAATTCCATGTAAAAGTCTTATGCCCCATTGTGTCCCCACCCTTCTGCCAGGGGTCATTAGTTGATAAAACTTCAAGCTACATTACCTGAGTATGCTTCTGTATTAATATGACTTGTCATGGCTTTGCTGTTCTGGAGAATAATTTTTCTGGCCCACTCAGACCTGTTTAACTTTTCTAACTGATGTCAGTATTCTAGAAGTTGTCAGTATTTTGAGCAGTTTGTCAGTAAAAATGCAACTCAGCTTATTAGACATTTTTATATGAAGAACCCCTTGTTATACAAATACTAAGCACTAACTACGCAAGTCACCATATGCTGTCTACTGTTGCTTACATATTTTACATTTGCCGTAATTATATTGTTTTTAGATCATTTTTGATAAGACCACTTCAATCAACAAGCTTCTTTATCAAACTGATTGGCAAATTTCGGGAACGACTCTGATTTTTTCCGTCTTTAGGGAAAATCTGTATATTTTCAACGTGAATCTGTAGAGCACTTTTTTACTCGAAGATTCATGGAAAATACTAAAAAGCTGTACAAGTAAACAACTCTGCCCATTGTTTCTGGAGAAGATTTTTTTAAAGATGCATCAAATTTGCACTAATTTTTGATTATATCCCCTTAAAATAGGGTAATGCCTTTCATGTGAACAAACTTGAATCCCCCACCGAAGAATACTTTGTGGCAAGTTTGGTTGAAATTGACGCAGTGTTTCTTGAGAAGGAGCTGAAAATTTGAAACAACAGTGACGCTGGAGATGGACAATGGACAAACTTTGATCAGAAAAGCTTACTTGAGCTTAAGAAAGTTCTGTTTTCAGCTTTATTACCAAGATCATTAATGGTGTCTTCATCACAGCTTTTTTCATCGCTTGAAGGATGGTATGATTCATCATCATTACCATCATCATACTCGTCTGCTTCATCACTTAAAAGTGGCCCTGTATCATGTCCTATTTAAAATTCTAAAAAAGAAATTATCATTTTAAGACTGTTCATTTTTATGGGGTTAACTTTTAATTTGTAACATCCAAACAACATCATAAATATAGATTACCATTCTCATTGACAACATCATGACTGCTGCTTTCATTTACAAATGATTGGTGTGATTCCTCATCCTGCTCAATTGCAAAAGACTCTGTCAAAACATTCAAATTAGATATTAAATTGGAAAATAACACTTTTCTTAAAAAGTAAGATTCAAATTTATGAATACAATAGGGGTTATCTATTTTTTTTTCTTTTTGCCTTTACTATGCATGCAAAGAAGAGTCCCATGGGCTACAACATTTCCCATGTAAAAGAAGCTTTTCTTAATGTTTATAAAGAGTTTTTCTCCTTAATTTTCTCATGCAAAATTGTGAACTCATATTATGACCCTATCCTAACTCTAAAGGGTCTCTGAATCCACTACCCCCCCCCCCCCCCCCCCGCTTCCTTCCTCCCTTTGGCCATGATTTGAACAAAAAGGAAGCTACAAGAAGGTTTAAAAATACAATTTGTGGTCCAGTTGTTCTTAAGAGGATTTGTAAAGATTTTAACTAGTACATAAATGTATGTATATATTTCAAGGTAAATCTTTGATCCCCTATTGTGGCCCCATCTACCTCAAAGGCCATTTTTTGAACAATTAAAAATCTTTATTACATCAGGAAGCTTTCACATAAATTTCAGCTCCTGACCAGTAAAGTGAGAGTATTATGGGCTTTGAGAAGAAAATACACATTATTGTTTAATTTGACCTCCAAATCTTTTTTCTAGTACCATAATAGTGTACGATACATTTATTAACTTGACAACATACCAATCTTCTCCTGGATTTTGTATGCTGGTGAGCACAGACTGGGCTCACAGTTTCCAGCAAAGTTATTAGCTGTAACTCTAAACTCCCACTCTGAGTCCTGAGGAAGATCGGTGACAGTAAAGAGGGGTCAGTGCAGGGGTACTCATTTCTCTGTTCCCTTAAACCTCTCTTCTACAAGGTAGTCTACAAAGATAATCAATATTATCAACTGCTACAGTGTTTATGTGGTTTTGAACAGAGATCAACATTTCCCTTTTTTTATTCTACTTTTAAATTAGTACCTGTAATTTTACAGCCACCATTATGTTTAGGTTGTTCCCATTACAGATAAGTTATAGAATTGTTGACAGCCTCTGGTACACCAGGTGGCAAAACCTTGGCTAAAATAAAAGTTTAAAAACGTGAAAGAAAAAATAATTGAAAATAAAGTACAATATGGTAATTGTTTTTTAAAATGTTATAATTTTTTTCAAATATACTTACTGTATTTGGGCTTGTGAGTTATGGGACCAATCACATCACTAGACTCACTGATTTAAAAACCTTCAAGATTCTTGGCCTGTATGTGGAAGTTGTATTCCTTGTCCTTTTTTAATCCCTTCACTGATGAAAAAACTCTCAAATTCAAGTTTTGTAAACAAAACAAATTTCAAGAATCACTTTTGTAAAACATCTTTTCACAGTTTTCAGCCATAATATACTAATTACATGCAACAAAAGGACATGTAAATCCACTTACTAGTTCATAAGAAAGATACATGTGTCAACAAGTAATCAGTTACTCACCCTCATAAACACACTCATCTACTGGGTAGTCATTAGCCTGCCTCCAGTGGTGGGGTCTTCGTATTCTATGACATATCCTATAATCTTCTTAAAACCATCATTTCTTGGTTTGGTCCAAGAGAGAGATTGACAAAATCTTCATCAATGTCGAAAACACTTGGATGTCCAGGAGGATCACAACAAGCTGAGGGAAACATTTAATATTTTCAAAATTTTTCAACCCAGTTCATCATGCAAACACAAAGACATTCTTTTAATTGTATACACCAATCAATGCTCGAATCTTAACATATCCCTTCATATTGAAACGAAGTCTTAAAGTTTGGAATTCATTTGATATCTAACAATTCATGTTCAACAGAATTATCACTTCACTTCAGCTTAGCTTCAGGGGAGAGATCAAAATTCATACACATCTACAAAAACTAATCAATCACCTGAAAATGAATTTCTTTGGCTACCACTTAAATATTTAGATGACTTGCAAAATAAAGTGGACAGACAGGACAGTATATATAGCTTGAACGAATAGGGATATACTAAAATACTTAACTAAATGTGCATTCTCAACCAAATTTGTGCACAGTGCACTATTTAAAGAATGTCCATACAAAGTAGTCAAAATACCAATCCCAAAGATCTTGAACTTAGCATTTTACAATTTTTTCCTCATAAAAATAGACGAATTCAAAATTTGATGAAAAATATTAATGCTCTCAAACTAGGAATAATTAACATTTTTGGTGGAATGGCTCTGTTCAATGGTACCAGTTATGGAAGAAAAAAAATGCTGCTGTTTGTTCTTTATCACAAAATACATTGTATTTAAAAAAAAAAAATTCCATTTCTTTTTTATTTTAAACATTTTTTCCTTTATATTCCCACAAAAAACTTTAATCCACTATTGTTGTGCCACTCTACGGGTACCTCTAGGAACCATGATTGGGAAAAAAATTGTACAGCACTTTCTGAGGATAACAGCTAGGACATTAATATCACTAATCAATGTCCTCTTGTGACATACATTCCAATGAAAAACTTCAATCCTTCATTGTAGCCCTATCCTACCCCACTGTAGATGCACTTCATTTATTTATTTTTAATTACAAAAAGACAATTGAACAAACTACCATGTTATGACCGCATCTTATTATGACATTTTTTTTATATGTTGATGTAAAAAAAATATTGATTCCATACTGGTTCCACCTACCCCATTAAGTCAGATTTGAACATGCAAACTTGAATCTATACCATGTCAGGACACTTCCACATAAGTTTCAATGGTTTATAAAATGGAGATTTTTATATGAATCAAATTTTCACTGTTTCATAGCTACTTCTCCTTGAAAAGTTGGTCACCATTCATTTAAACAAATTAAAATTGCTAAGTGGTTCTCCAGAAGAAGTAAAATGCTCCAGAGCTTTTGAGTAGATTTTTGTCTTAACCTATATTTCCACTTTTGCATAATGTTTTAGTTCTTACAATAAATTTGGATTCTACAATACCAATTAAAATATATTCAGTTAAAACTCCATGATTAAATTCCATACCAAAAGCATTAAGTGAGGAACTACTGTATGTGTACTTAAAAAAGCAGGCTTCATATTTTAGGGGGCCCTTGGCGCAGACAACAATGCCCTAATTCATGAATACCACTAAGAAATCATTTATAAATACAATATATGGTACAGACATTTATAGCGCTAATTCATGATGTCGCCAACACCTCAAAACCCAGTGATTTCGCTAAATTTTGAATACACTATTTTATGGACACATACAGTATATTTTGTGGCGGAAGGTTTTTTTTAGAAGAAAATGATCATTTCTTTCTCTTTCAAAGTATTTAAAGTATGCTAAGTTTGGATTCCTATTTTTCCATGCAGCCTACACACAGAGTTATTCTGAGCCATGAATTGTTTTATGCTGGTCCTAAATTATATATCAAATAAAATATCATGAATTCTATCATTATATTTGATAAGTATAGCAAATATATTGTGAAAATCCAGAAAAAATAGCCGTAATTTAAATTAAGCTTAAAATTAGCACTATTTTGGTAATATCTAAAAATTAACATCACAGACCCCCACTTTTTATTTTCTTTTCTGAATATATAAAATACTTTTAACCATTCTTAAATTCAGTAAAATGTCATTACTTTCAAGATATTTGATTGCTTGATAAATTTTTTAATGCCAGAAAAATATTTTCTGAGTGCAAAAAGGTCAAATAATTGAACTTGCAAAGTAATTTGAAAATTTTTTGTTGTCACAAATTTTAATACACCTATATATTCAAGGTGAAATAAGACTGTGTTTGTTCCCATAATTTATTTGAAAAAAATATTGGAGGAAAAACTTTAAAAATTGATTTATGTGTAAGACGTATTTACAGTGCAAAAAAGTCAAACTAAATGCTCAATAGCGCCAAGAGAAGCACATTAACCCCTATTTTTTGTTTTGATTTTTAATTAAGCTAGGTGTGTAGATTCTAAAAATATACTTGATAAAAGATTCTCATTACTTTTGAATTTAAAATTTCAAAATTATGCTTTGTAAAGTAGAAATCTGGTGTCTGATTATAATCGATAACATTGAAACACTAGAAGCTGATTCCAAACATTGATCGAAAATGAAAATAAACCAATGCAAGGAAACTCACAACATCTGTGTGATAAATGTATACAGACAGGGAAACTCACTACATGTTGGTAAATAATGCACTCTGGCAAGGAAACTCACTACATGTGTGTTAATAATGTACTCTGGCATGGAAACTCACTACATGTGTGTTAATAATGTACTCTGGCATGGAAACTCACTACATGTGTGTAAATAATGTACTCTGGCAAGGAAACTAACTACATGTGTGCAAATAATGTACTCTGGCAAGGAAACTCACTACATGTGTATGATAATTTTAAACAGACAAGGAAACTCACTACGTGTGTGTAAATAATATACCCTGGCAAGGAAACTCACTACATATGTGTAAATAATGTACTCTGGCAAGGAAACTCACTACATGAGTGTAAATAATTTACCCTGGCAAGGAAACTCACTACATGTGTGCAAATAATGTACTTTGGCAAGGAAACTCACTACATCTGTGTAAATAATGTACTCTGGCAAGGAAACTCACTACATGTGTGTGATAATTTTAAACAGACAAGGAAACTCACTACATCTGTGTAAATAATATACTCTGGCAAGGAAACTCACTACATATGTGTAAATAATGTACTCTGGCAAGGAAACTCACTACATGTGTGTGTAAATAATATACTCTGGGAAGGAAAATCACTACATGTGCAATTATTGTCCTCTGACACGGAAATTCACTACATCTGCGTGATAAATTTTAAAGTTAAAGATAGAAACTCAAAACGTCGACACAAATACTGAGGTATGTGACTAATGCAGAGATTATTAGATACTGTACGTAGCATGAAAAAAATTGCTGGCTTCACATCAATGTTGCTATGGAATGAAGGAAAAAAATATACTACATGTTTTGTCTTTGATGAAAAAAGAAAAGAAAAAATAAAAAAGATAGAAATAATGTTATATTGTAATATATTTCAATACAAAATTTAATATTGCAATGTATCCAAGTAATTGTAATAGGATTTTTAATTTGCAATACCTAGCACTTAACTATGAACACAATGAGTGATTTGGCAATGTTAAAACAAACTACATTTCCTTTGCAGTAAATTCATCATCAACTTGTTCCTACTATGGATAAATTATATATGGCTCAACTAGTATTATAAACAATGAAAGTATATCCCTGAATAGAAAATAGCAAAATTTATATTTTTTTCCCTAAAAATGTATGTCTGTAACATGAATATATTTCATTCAAAATGAAAGTAATAATAAAGAAATAATCCTTGAAATATTATGTTTTTTACGTTATGTCAAAAATCTTGACGCGAGCCCATTGCAGAGGTGTGAGAGAGGAACGAACGACTACTCTGCATAGGAGATTGGTAAACAGCAACCCCCCCCCCCCCCCGCCAAACAAACAAACAAACAAAACAAAAAACACGATATAATATCTAATCATAATATTTAACCTCCTGGGGTAGTGAACTCTATAAAACATGTTTAGTAGACTTATCTATAATGCATATCATAGAAGAAATATGGAATCAAAATAATCATCCCAAATTAAACATACATGTATTAACCATTAGAGAGAATCTAGGTATGTCACTCCAGTTTGTTTACTTTGTACCCCATTGGTTTTTCTGAGTTGAAATCATGTTTTTATTTCAAAATGAAATGCCATTTCACATTCTTTTGACATATAATTCAGTCTGTCTTTAATTTGATGAAGCTTTTAAATTGGATTTGCATCTCATAAGAATCCTACAATTTATTCTCAAATACAAATCAATCAGTGTTTTGGAAAATCCTTAAGTAAAAGCAAGAGGCCACTCAATCTCATTCATAACAGTATGTCACTTCATTCATATCCATGCTCAATACATTTCACTCTGATTCTTATTCTTCATAATTTCAATACTTTGCCGATGCTTCATTGTGTTAGCAATGTATACCAGTTCTTCTTACTTTTATACTAATTCCAGTTCTTAACTACTGTAACATTATTTTTAAATTTGCAAATTAAATCTCTGTTACAAATATCAATTTAAATATTTTTGTTGTAGGCAACCAAGAATTCAAGTAATGTGTGAAAAACAAAATGCCAGTAATATGTCTTCAATTATGTCATAAAAATGACTCTGGCCATCCGAACCGAGCAGCATCCAATCTTATAATTATGTGTTGATACTTATAAGTGTTGTCAAATCAGACAATTTTTAGTAACCGGTTACTCGCTTACTTTTCCGATCAAGTAAACGGTTACACGGATGGATTTTTTTTTAGACCTTTAAACATCCTTGCTCATGGTATGTATTCAATAATAACTGTAATATATGTAACGTCATTACAATTTCCATGTTTAACACTTACACACTGGCCAATATCAAACGCAAATGCACTGTAGATGCATTTCATTTATTTATTTTTAATTACACAAAGACAAATTAAAGCTTCTAAATGAATTTGTTCTTGAATATCCTGTAATAGTTGGCAATTTTTGCGGATGTCCTAAATATAAACTTACTTTAGTTTCGTTTCTGTGTATGTTAATTTCATTTTACATATTTTACACCTTTCGGATTTAAATTCTTTTAAAACATTTCGGAATCTATGCTTTTGATGGCTGTGGAGGCATCTTATTTAAAATTAATCCTGTACTGCGGACTAGCACAGTATAAGTGAGGTAATTATAATTAACCCAGGTTTTCTACATTGTATACTGCTTGGCAATCAAAGCCATCGATTAGATAAACTGTGAAAACTAAGTGTTATCAAAACAAATCGGTCATGTTTGTGAAATGCTAGATCAAGTCTAACGTTAAATAACGGTAAATAAAATGGTAGAGGTGTACATTCATTTCTGAACAAAATAACATTTCTTTTCTACTTTTGTCTATATATCCGAGTAACTGAGTAGCAGTTTTACTATCTGATACTCGCATTGTTTGCCGATTAACCGGTTAACCAGGTACTCGTTGACAACACTAGTAGAAATGGTTAAAATGGCATCACACAAAATAAAGATAAATTAATTATTCAAACAACAGGGAGTAATACAGTAAAACATGCTTACAATAGCAAAGAGCCAGGGACCAAAATATTTAATTCTTTATAAACATAAACTTTCCATTTACAACACTTTTAAATCTATGGGGAAGGAAATCACTTCAATGTATTAAAGCATATAAATTCATTTTAAGCATGTTTGCTATAACAATGTTCTGGCTGATTGATTTGAAAATTTTATAAATGGTTCTTCAATGATGTGCACAATTTAAGAGACACTGCAACAAATGGAAGCTAGACCACTGCTCCTTGATGAAAATATATCCTTGTTCGTAACCTTATTATAAATCTAGCTTAATAGTCAGACTGGGTGAAGCCTATCTTTATGAAGTATTGAATGATACTGATGGTGGCATTACATAAAATCAAAGGCCTGAAGGCCTGAGAGACGCATCGCACTGAAGGTAGAAAACTCAAATTTTTTTACTCAGAAAAATTCGACATACATCTTGAGGGAACGAAAAAAAATCAGGAATAAAAATAAAAATTAAAAATATCATTTCTTTGAGGTTAAAAAAAGATTTTGAGTTGTGGCATTTTTTTAGTCGGTCGGAAGAGGGCAAACAAACATTTTTTTAAAGATAGTCTGATATATTAATTATAATTCATTGATATTTAAATTAATATATAATTGATTTTAATTATACTTTTATTTTTTTTATTCTTTCATTATAAACATAGTAGAAAGATGAAATAATGAACGAGAATTTAGAAATGAATGATTATTGAATAATTCTATATAATTTCATATCTGAATTTTTTCCGTTTCTTTCATTATGAGCATTTTTTTTTAAATATCAATACTTTGTCTTAGACTAGTTTTATCAATCAAAATGACATAATACGTAAACCATAGTGGGATACATGAAATGTTCATATAATTCGGACTGAAAAAAAAAACAATCGGGAGTGGTATACGGTATACTATGAAACACGTTTCCTCCGATATTTTCGATAAAATTAACTCAAAAAGTCTATGTTTATATGGTATTAGTAAACCTATAAATTGAAATCCACTGTCATTGCAATTTTTTATCAGATATTTTATCATACTCAACTGACACTTTACCAAAAACCGATCATTTCACCGTTTCGTGTTACCCTTCCTCGTGGAATTTTTTTCCCAAAACAGTCTAGACGAACTCCAAAAACAGCTTTGCTTTTCCGGAAGTAAGAAATTGAGACTGAAAAAGACTCCGAAAATAGAGTCCGCGCATGCGCACACGCACAAAAAAATAGCGATTTTTCGGCAAAAATGATGGGTCTACAAAAACTGTCTGTGCAAAGTTTTGGAAAGTATGGCAATTATGCCAGTACTCAGAAATGCTAAATAAAAGACTTCAGAAGAGATCGTATTTGTCAGATTTTTGATTTTATTTGCAAAAAAGGAGATATTTACTTTCAAAGTTGACGTTTGAAGTCAGGTCAATTACAGAGAAAATGATACATTTGAGAAGTAAATATGCATAATAAAAGGGATATATATGCAAAATGGGACAATACATATTGTAACTGTTAAAAACTTGACTGAATTTTACACATATATTAGCATTCCGGTATTTTTATTTGTGTACGACATCTGAATTGAACGCGTAAGTTCTTACCATGGTTATTTACCGATTTTTTTTTATCACATACGAACAGATATTATTATGAAAACATTTTTAAAACTATTAGCTATCAAAATGAAATCTTTAAAAACCACTCTTCTAGAAATTAAGGTCACAACATGTCTTCTAAATATAAACCTGTGAATATCTCTGCTCCGTAGTGAAAAATGCACATTTTCTAATTAAAATACATACAAGCTGGGTGTCTTCAAAAACAAGTAAAAGCACCTAGATATCGTAGGAACAACATAAAATTTAAATCAAGGAGACAATAAATCAAATAAGAAAATAATTCTTACCGGCAGTATTGAATTCGATGTCGTATAATCCAATTTACTACTATGCAAGAGTTTGAAGCAATAAATTAGTCAATATCCACAAAATAATTTCATAAATATAATTATCCATTCAACAAAATTAAAGTAAAGTCACAATGCACTAAATACAGCCATTATGCAGCCGTATATTTGAAGAAAGCGAACGACAATCCATCGTTTGTTTACATCGGACGCCATTTTGCCGCAATGCATGATGGAGCCAAAGACTTCGTTTTCGGAGTTCACGCCATTTTTAGAGTTCGTCTTGACTGCGAAAGGTGGCCCTTGTTGCAAAATTTATTCAGTTGAACATCTTACTATTCTTTTCATCAAGTGAAAAAATAATGATATCCCTTCTATTTCTATAAAAACAACCATCTTGTTCCTACTGTTAGTGATGTTTTATAAAATAAAATTATTGTATATTTTTCTCAGATATTCGTACAAGCAATGTCGTATTACAAGGCCTACTAATTTATGGCAAGAGCTGTTGCGATGTAAATAGATCTTACTCCGCGTAGCACATGTTTGTTTGTTGTTGTTTTCTCTCTTTCTCTATTTCTGTTTTGTTTTGTAATTGTTTCTTTTTTGTTATCTTTGTTGCTTTCAAAGTATAAACAACATATATATGTGAGATTTTATGTTATTTGGTATTTAAAATAGACAATGAATATCACCAACTTGTCAATATACATTTGCTCTATTTTCAATGGCGTATTTAGAATCAATATTGTGGAGTCCTTTGTCGCCGCAGTAATTGAAAAGAAAGAAATGGGGTCGACTGCGATGAGGCCACATCGCTGTTAGGGATGCGCCTCAAAAAATAGTTTGTGTCCAAAAACATGTGAATAAACATGATAAATATTAAATCCCTCTTTATGACATTATGATATCATGAAATTAGCTTAACAGCAGACTGGGTAGTGCAACTTGTATAATTATATTTATATATATTACCTGAATTAATCTCATCATCATCTTCACTGTCAAATGAATTTCCATTGAATTCCCAACTAAAAGGGTCCGATTCCACTTCCACATCTGAGCTAGCCATTTGGAGTCTAAAACATCAAAACATTTAGATTCAACATCACCTTTTAAAAATTAAAACTGTCTTCAAACAAGAGGCCCATGGGCCACGATGCTCACTTTGGTCAAATAGGTTCAATAAAAGACTTACTTATAGACACAAAATATTACAAAAAAATTTATCAATTCCTATTCTGAGATCTTATTTTCCAGGTATAAGTCTTCTTCTAAATGTGTCTTTGTGTGACATCATATTGTAACTAGGGGATTGCTCTAAAATCTGCCCCAGTATTTCCAATTTGTTTAAGCATCATTTATGTTAAAAATTATACAAAAAATATTTTTTGGAAAAAATATACAAACTTAAATTTAAATACAGATCAATCTGGATTTTAACTTTTTTGCACAAAACTATAAATTAAGAGCATATAAAATTATAATCATGTAATGAAAAAATATGAAATTCAAGCAATATTATCATTCTTTCTACATCCATCCACTTTACAAAACAAAACCACAGATGTTGAGAGTAAATTAATAATATAAACTTACTTTTATAGTTTGATATAAATTTGATCTCAAAACCTTTTTGGTCAAAGCCAGCCTGGCAGTAAAAATCTGCTTCTGACGAAGGTGACATTCGTCTTCTCTGAAAATAGATGTGATCAGGGAATACATAAGCTTTAATTCATAACATACTATATAAATGGTGCCTGTTTTGGAGGGTAACAAATGAAATTGACACCCTTTTGAAAACCATTGTTAACCTTTTGTTTTGTCATTGAAATGATCCCTCCTGAAATATTTTATCGACCAAATATTAGAAGATTTTTTTTAAATTTTAATCAATTCTTTGCCTGTAATCAAATGACCACCAAAACTTGTGTTGGATTTAAGGGAAAACAAGTTTCTTGGTTGACTAGTGATACTTTTTACAAAAAAGTTAACTGTTTATTGAGTTTTTTTTAAAACATATAAACATAGGTAATCAAAGATTACAAAGCTCAATGAATGGTACATGTGTATCTATAAGTAAGGTAAATCTTGTACCAATTTTGTGCGAGATCAATTATCAATGCAAGTTTGGTTAAAGTAGGACTTATAGTTGCATGGGAATAGACCTGCTCCAAAAACTTTAAACTTAAACTGTTTACTCATAAAGAAAATGTAGGTCAGTTCCAGCATCCATAGCATGCCTGGTAGTGTCCATCCCTAGTTTCGTCATCCATGCAAGTTTAGTCATAACATGTCATATAGTGATAGAGCTACTCCAAAGACATTACTCTGGTCACATATCTGAAAAATGTAGGTCAGATTCAGCATCAAAAGCAAGTCTTCTTGTGTCCATCTTTAGATACATCATTCCATGCTAGTTTGGTTCTGGTAAGGCTAATAATTACTCATCTGGAAAATAAAGGTTAGATCCAGCATCCAAAGCAAGTCTGGTAGTGTCCATCCCTAGGTGCATCCTTCATGCAACTTTGGTTCAGGTAGGGCTTAGTTACTTGGAAATGCATGGACTTGCTCCAAAAACTTTAACCTGGTCACTCATCTAGAAAAATTTAGGTCAGATCCAGTATCTGAAGCAAGTCTAGTATTGTCCATCCCTAGATGCATCATCCATGTAAGTTGGGTCCAGGTACGGCTTATAGTTACTTGGGAATGGACTTGCTCCTAAAACTTTAACCGGGATGCCGACAAGTGTGATTTACAACATTTTCATAATTTTATTCGGTAAACAAATAAAAAAAATTACAAATTCATTTTTAATGGACCCAAATTATAGCTTGTATAGCCACTGTATTAGTGTAAAATGTGCACTGTGCCATTTGGCTGACCCCACAAAATGCAAGAAAGCCTGATTTTCTAGTTTGTAAGTTCACTGCAGTCTGCACTCTTGGTATTCGTCATCGAAATTAAATGATATCCATGATGTATCATATAACAAGAGGCCCAAGGGCCTTAACGGTCACGTGAGTATAAAACAATAATCCATAGAGGATCCATAGAGTATAAAATAAACTGATAGAACCTTAATTTGTTGCCCAAAAGCAAGAAAAATAGGATGATCATGATCTTCGAAATAATTACTCTAATATTCAGTAACAACTCATAAATTAAGTTCTAATCTGTCCCCAATTTAGATTTTTTTCCTAGAAGTTTTTTCTAATATGCCCCCACCCTACCCCCGAGGGTCATAATTTGAATAATCTTGAATCTACACTACTGTAAAACACTTTTTATTCACAAGAACTTTATTTTTGCGTAATTACGTGAGACAGTGTGCTCGTGAAAATTTCATTCTCACTTATCTTAGTATTCCTACAGATTATATACAGCAAACACATTTCGTGAATATTCTGTCTCGCTAATAAGGAGTCAGTGACTATCTCGCGAAAATGAAGTGTCCCGAAAATTTAGTGATCTACAGCACCTGAAGATGTTTCTGTATTAAAATGACTAATCATGGCTTTGTTGTTCTTGAGAAGAAAATTTTTAAATGATCTTTCATATATATTCCTAACTAAAATTTGATCACCTGTTGTGTCCCCTCCCTACCCCAGGGGGTCATGATTTGAACAAATTTGAATTTACATTACCCAAGGATGCTTCCATATAAATAAGACAAATCATGGCTTTGCTATTCTTGAGAAGAAGATTGTTAAAGATTTTTCCTATGTATTCATATGTAAATCTTTGATCATAAATTGTGGCCCCACTCTATATTACCTGAGGATGCTTCCATGTAAATATAACCAATCATGGCTTTGCTGTTCTTGAGAAAATAATTTTTTCAAGATTTTTCCTACGTATTCCAATGTAAAAATTTCATTGTTCATTATGGCCCCACCCTCCCCTGGGATCATGATTTTAAGAAATTTGAATCTACACTACCTGAAGATGTTTCTACATCAGTTTCATCTTTCTTGGCCCAGTGGTTCTGGAGAAGATTTTTCCAATGTATTCCCATGTAAAACTTTGATCTCCCATTGTGACCCGCCCTGCCCCCGGCAGGGGTGTGCAATTACCATTGCCCAACGCTCAGGGCTACCAATTTTAGAGGTTGGGCTATCATAAATCTATACTGCATTAGCCTGTCGGGCTAGTAAATCTGAAACGAAAGTATATGTATATTTACATCGACTGAATTGATGTACGAATTAACTTTGTTGTAAAATCATAATCTTTAATTCTTTTCAACATTTATGTATTGTGTGTTGCTATCGCCAGTCGTTTCAGTGACTGTCACAATTATATTCAATAAAAATAGGGAGAAGTACCTGACAATAACATAGTGGAAACCATTATTTGTTTTATTTATTTCAACTTAATTTTTTTTTTTTACCTTTTTGTTATACTTATACATGTATTGTTTTCGGTAGTTAATGGGCTAGTGATGATTGTCAACCTCGAGCTAGTAACTTTGTTACTTCCACTAGCCCAGGCTAGTAACTAATTTTTGTAATTGCACACCCCTGCCCAGGGGTCATGATTTGAACAAACTTGAATCTACACTACCTGGGGATGTTTCCAAGTAAGTTTTATCTTTCTTGGCCCAGTGGTTCTGGAGAAGAAGATTTTTTAAAGATTTTTCCTATGTATTCCTATAATGTAAAACTTTGATCGTCCATTGTGGCCCCACCCTACCCCTGGGAGTTATGATTTTAACAAACTTGAGTCTACACTACCTGAGGATGTTTCCACATAAGTTTCATCTTACCTGGTCCAGTGGTTCTTGAGAAGAAGATTTTTAAAAGATGCCATTAATTTTTCACTAATTCTTAGTTATCTCCCCTTGGAAGACGGTGTGGCGCTTCATTTGAACAAACTTGAATTACCTTTACCCAAGGATACTTTGTTGCAAGTTTGGTTGAAATTGGCCCGGTGGTTCTTGAGAAGAAGTTGAAAATGTAAAAAGTTTACGCAAGACGCACACCCGCACGACAACGGATGAAAACAGATACATGTAGCAATAGGTCACCTGAGTGACTCAGGTGACCTAATAAAATCAGAGCCACCAATCAACATATTGACATCCACTGGCTAAGCAACAAACTTTTCCTCTGATGTGGTTCCTAACTCCAAAATATCAAGTCATTTTGCATGGCTGCACCACAGATTTATGAAATTGATGCATATGGAAAATATTACCTTAGGCCATTCCAAGTTTTTTCTATGTTTAGCATCCACCCATCTTTCAAATACTTCCCTACCTATTCGCAAAAAACACACAAACCAAAAAGTAAAACACAAGTCATTATAGCCATAAAAATGATGTCAATCAAAGAATATGATTCCATTAATCTATTTTTCTCGTAGAAATATTTATTCTTCAGCAAAATCAAGGTATTAAATGCTTAAAATATTCCATATATGGCATATTGTAGGCAAATACTTAGAGAAATTGACAGAATTCAGTGAATCGACCTGAATAAACAATTTCAGGACTCCTGATTTTGTTTGTTTGGGTTTTTTTTTTTGTTAAGGGATGTCAAAAAATCCAAGGCACACGCGGACGCTAAACATTGAAAAAACTTGGAATGGCCTTAAATGTACAATGAAATACCATACTAACAAATTCTAATTAATTATCTAGGCTCGCTCTTTGATCTCTAAAAGTTGGCATTAAAAAATGATTTTGGTTTAAATATATTTTATTCTAAATACTTGCTGTAATAGATGACAAATCTCCATGAAGTTCTAAAAACAGAAAATTTATTTCCACATATCTGTTATCAAGGTGGCAGGGGATAATTTTTCTTTTCAATGCCAAACATGTGCCGAGGGGGTAGGCATATGCATGAGGTCAATAAAAACAGATCATAGTTTGGGGCAGTTTCTTGGGTGCTAATTAATTGCACTTCATATATCTATAGCTCAAAAAATGTGTCAACGTATAACATGTAACCTACATATTAAAGTGAACATGTACCGAAAATGCACTTGGAGGTCTCCAAAGATTTTGGCTTGTTTTTCCAAGATTTGGGCTGCTGTCGCACCTATACAGCCCATCCCATTCCCGAGCGAGCAGGATAAAACACCCAGTATTCTGTAGAACAATGCATGCTCTAATGAAAATTCACTAATTAATCTGGGGCCATTCACCTTCCCTCTGAGATGCACACAACTGCTTTTCAGCTGAATTTCCTCTGCGACTGACCAAATGTCTTAGTTTCGCATTTACAACTCTATATATGCTAAGCATCAGAGTGACACCTACATGATGCACATCATTTTTCTCAGCAAGCTCTGCTACACTGCACATGTACATGTATCCCATAATTATTCTATTCATTTTTCTACATAAAATATCACATCAATCAGGGGATATCTCAGTTTTTAAAGAAATTTGACAGCACATACTAATCTATAGTATGAAACTATCCCCTGCCACCCAATGTCATATGGCCATAGTCAAGTCGTACCCAAGGCAATTCAAATCTTAACATGTTAACATATAAACATATATGGTTTTGAGTTGACACAGATAAATGCTGTTTTTATTCTCACGGATCAAAAAGTTCCTTGATAAAATGGTTTGCTTAACGGATATGAGTTATGTAATTGATCCTAAAAGTTTCCTTTTATTATATTTTGCTAGTTGTAAAGGGGTATATAATAAATTTATCATTATAACAGTAACTTGATCCTGAGACCCGTATTACGTCTCGTTGACAGGCGCGGATCATCAGATCAAACTCATTTGATCTGATGATCCGTGCATGTCAACTTGACATGATACGGCTCTTCGGATCAAGTTACTATTATAATTATATATATATACTGGCCTCTGTTCTTCTTTCAGAAAATATCATAGGCTCAATTTCGTTGAGTCAATAATTTGGAATATCCCATAATTATCTCTTAATTTGAATCACTTAAGCATGTTAAATCAACACATGCCCCTGATCGGCCGAGAATTGTAAAATTTGGTGGTAATCTGCTTTACATTTATATTATTTTACAACGTATACTTTAAAATTTATTAAATATCCATTCCAATAAACAAAAAGAACAGACTACATTTATCGGAAAACAAATTTTTTACTGAGAATAAACATAGTTTGAAAAACTTGTAGTGTTTTGGGCGAGTAAACATGGTACTGAAGGAGATGCCTATCCCGTTAGTATATAGATCCCTGACTTAATGCATAGAATAATGATTATACGTTAAAAAAGTGTGTTATAAAATTTGCATTGTCTGTTTATGATACGGAATACAACAGATCTAGGGCCTATAAGTCAAAAAATTTATTTGTTTATTCATTTGAAAATTTTGTTACAATTCCAGGAAATGCAGACATGGCTCTTCTTTATAGTGAAATTCTGCGCCAGATTTTCATTTTGCTCCATAAAAGTTCACTTCAATTATAATGCCCTGTTCACACGGAGAGTTTAATTCGAATTAAACATAAGTTACTGCGAATTAAATTTGAATCGCATTCGCACAGGGAATTTAATGCGAATTAGTTTAATTCAAATTAATTAACTGCACATTTAATTACTTCGCATTAGCTCCGTGTGAACGCTAAGCGAAGCTAATTCGAATTAAATTTTGACGCATGCGTAAAGGCACAATTAAGTCACATGCCACATGTCTGTGGACAGATATGGATACTTATGCTATTTTTTAATGGAAAACAAAGAAAAATTATGTTAATCACTGAAATGTGCATAGAGACTATGACAGAATGTAATATGGGTTTGCTGCGCATAAGGCGACGTGATTTGAAAATGACCTCATTATAGCCTTACTGAATAGCCTTACTTACAAATAAAATTTTAATTCCCATTAGTTTACTTCGCATTAGCTGTAGTGTGAACACAATTTAATTTGCATTATTTTAATTCACATTATTTACTTCGCATTAATTTACTGCGAATTAAACTCTCCGTGTGAACAGGGCATAACAATTTAATGCATGTTACTGTCAATCAAAAATTGTTTTAATCAGTAAATCATGATGCAAAAACTAACATAACTTGCAGAAGTCAGCATAAACAACTTCACTAACGAATCAAGATCCCATTCAAAAAACATTGGTAATGTAATGCAATATCATGCACTCAAGTGTATAATATATAATTTTCTTATCGGTATTGTAAAACAATTGATACCCCATATGAGTTCCACATGGTGAAAAGAAGGACCCTTGACATGACCGACTTGCTAACCAGATGTGGCCTTGGTCAGGTTAATTAGAATAATCTAACCGTGTCTTGGGACAGGCCCTCACTACAGTTAGAATCCCTCCCATATACCAATAATATAGCAGAAAATTGCAGAATCGCGGGGCTCCGAAATGATTTTGGAGAAAATTAATGAAGTTGCATTGAAAATAACAGTCAAATTAATCATAAAAAACCTTTTGAGACTGTAAATACCTTTCATCTAAAAATTTAATCCATATAATGGAAGAATTCAACACTTCTTCACCAACATTTTTTACTCGTTTCAAATTTACACAAGATGTTGACATTCAGAACTCTCGGGATATTTCATAGTAAATGCACAAAGTTAGAGTTATCTCCCGTATTTTCTTTGCTACATGGACAATACACGGAATGCATTCTATCGTTAAACAGGGTCCGTAGGACATTTATCATTTTAATGATAGAACATTCTATCTATGGTCAGGTCAGTTCACCTCGTAGACCAAGTCTTGGGTCCGTATTTCACCATGTTGACCTCAGAAGAGGTAATAAATTGTTAATATTGTTAAGTTATGAGTTGTCATCAATTTATATAGGGGAGTCAGCTTGTAACAATTCTCCTGGTTACGAGTTGAATTTTGTCGTTTCATTAATATGAGTTGACCTATTGGGTTTGATCTGATCTACTCAACATGCTAGAGGTTCACGGCGATATACTTTTGACTTGGCGCTCCGAGGTATATAAGGAGCGTAGGGACGTTTAACCGAGGCTCTTACTTGTAGGAGGAGATCTGACCTAGATACGATCATACGAGGCTGGTTACGAGTTGACCAAAAACCCTTAAACAGACACTGTAACTTTTCTGTGTTTCCCAATCCCAAACAAGGATAGACTGTAATGCAGGCCCAACTGTGTTCATTGTACGTGTATAAAAAATGAATAAAACGGGCACTATAAAGATTATCGTTCCGAAAAATTGACACATACAACTGACCTAGTTCGAATTTTCTCAACTAAGTGACAACTTTCCAAAGTTCACAGTACATACGATGAACTTCAAGCATCTTCTAAATTTCCATCTTCAAAAGTAACAAGAGAAGATTTTTATACTTTAAAGCTTACAAATACTTACAAAACTGTCTTTCATACGCAATGCAGTCTCAGTGTCAGTGATCAGTTCATGTTCATGTTGTAGGGTGTTACCTTCGCTTAACTGGTTCTTGTGAACTTCCGGTAACCAGTACATTTCTGAAAAGTGAAAATCTTGTAATATGCAGGCAATATTTATGACTTTTAGAGTGGGACAGTTGCAAAGTATGATGGCAAAGGTACTTATTTTGGCCATTTTAGGGTGGGACAAGTCATTTTAACAACAAAAGACCCTACATACATAATCTATATAACTCAGTAACTGTAGGGCAGTGGCGGATCCAGAAGGGTGTCTAAAGATTAAGGGCCTGGGACACAAATTATAAATGCAATATTTAGCAACAACAAAATAAAAATTTCTTAATCTTTATACGAATAATTTTGGTTATAACAGGGGAGTTGCCCCCCCCCCCTCCGAACCCCCTCCTAATAAAGGTCCCTGATTTTATTATGAATTGAGAAAAGACTCATGAATACATGTAGTTATTCAAATCCATGAAATAAACCCTCAAATCACAGGTTCCTCCTTGTTTTTGGACAATTTAGACCTGGCCTTCAGTGCAAAACTGTCAAATTAATCAATATAATCAAATTATCAGGAAATTAATTAATCAATTTAGATTTAGAAAGTATGCTACATTTAAGATTTAGACAGTATGTTAGAAGCATATAATATACTTTTAGTCAAGAGTGTACGGGGATTTACCCTGGATTGTATTCCATACACCTTGAGGCTGAATCAAGGGTGTAGGGGATTTACTCTGTGTTGTATTCCATACATGTGTGCAGAAGGCCCCAGTGCTTTTTAACTATGCCTTGTGACATCACAATATTTTACCTTCAGCTCAAGCTGTACATAGTACATGTATACTAAACTACACCAGCTGGCTTGCTATACAAACAAATCTTGTATTACAAGTTAGCTTGCTGCTTCAGCCTCTGAGGATGTATAGAATAGAATAGAATAGAATAGAATACAATTTACCAGAGGAAAATCTCTTTACATCCTTGATTGAATTGCAGTGGATATATCCCTGCTAGAATTACAAGAAAAACAATCCAATGCATGTCATATTTCCTTAGAAATAAAAAATGTCATGGTCAAGTAAGATTTTATACAACTTTCAAACATTTTCAGGTTGCATGATATCCAAAATCATGCACGTTTAAAATTCCCAAAATTATTTCATTTAGAAAAGGAAATCACCAAATATTTTGCAACTGAATGGAGTCTGTACCCTTCAAGTAGTAGCCATCTAGATCACAGCCTCAACATGGCTGATGAAGGAGAAATTTAAAGGTCATATTATATTGTATATATGTACAGGGGTATTTATGAATTTTAATTTACTTTGATTTAATTTTCATACAAAATGAAGACGGGAAATATATTCTTTCACTGCAGTGGAAGGTATGAAACCAATTTATTTAAGACTTTATAAATCTATGTTTATGCACTGGTCCCACTCTGGTGAATAATATTGCCTAGTCTCTTATTCATGGACTATAAATTTGTGGAAACTTGAATGTAATTGATATTGCAATTCAAATTTATATCCTAGTTATTAAGAATACGAAGCCAAATATACTTATTAAGCGGATGTTGCATTTTGTATGCTTTCTGTGATTCATGACATTATGCTGAAAATTCTTTCCAAAAAATATTTACTTGTACATACGTATGTTTATCTAGAGTGTTCCAAGAAAAAACATATGTTGCCTGCTATATAGGCTCATAAAAGTTGCAAATAAATCTAAGGATGGTCAGGTATTTGCTGTACAGTGCATAAAAAAATCCACAAATAGGAAGGCTCTGATAGAAATTGACAATATAATAGAAAATGTTGAATATGATTCCCCTATCCTCAAAACAAAACAAAATAATATTACAATTAAATCAGAAATAATTATAATTTAATGCATGTTTCCAACAATCCTCTGAAAGTCTGACTATCCCTATGATATTGACTTTACTACACTTGAATTTAACATTCAGCTGATTTTCAAAGGAAATACTTAGTATTCAAGATATCTTTATCTAAATTCACACAATGATATATTGTGAGAACTATTCAAATGTGTCCATTTTTTTTTTACCTTGACTTAGCTTTTTCATTTTGCATTTTGTTCAGTTTTAAAGGAACTTTTTTTTTTATCCAAATACACATACAGTGTACTATCACATGTTGGTAAGAAGTATTCAAATGTGTCCTGAATTTTTTATTGTGACCCCTATGATATTGACCCAACTATTTCAATCTGCATTTAGCTCAATTTCAAAGAAATTATTCAAGATGTTTTTATCTATACACATATCTGAGATAAACTATGTCAATTTTTTTTATCTTGATCTTCCCTTTGACCTTGACCTCGCTATTCCTTATTTTGCATGTAGCTTAGTCTTAAAAAAATCTTTTAATTTATTTTTATCTATGCACTTGCACTGACACATATTGGTGATAACATTTCAACTGTGTCCAAATTATGACCTGTTCCTTTTGTTAATCATTAATCTTACTATTTATTTTAGTTACAGCTCTTTTTTTTTAAAGAAAGTATTCATAATATTTCTATCAAACGTACAATAACACAAAATTGGTGAGAGTTATTCAACTGTGTCATAATACTTCAAACCTTTATAAAGTTTCCTTTGACCTTGACCTCATCATTCCTCCTTTACTCTGATTTTGAACCATAGAAGCCTGATGCTTTTTTCCTTGTTTCATCAAAACTTATCCTGGGTAAGGCATTCATGTCCTGTTATAGATTTTAATTTCTTTTAATGAAGGTTGTTATCTAGAACACTGATATCTCAAATACAGGGATACATGTATGTCGAAGTGAGTTGGCACTCCCTAAAATATTTTTTTCAGCATTCTTCATGTTTTTAACCCTTGTCATTTCCAATCTTTCTGCGAAAATTTCAAATTGTTATTAAAAAAAAATGAATTGCAATGTTTATGCCTTTATAAAAAAAATTTAAACAAAATAAAAACAAAATTTTACCTATCAACCCTATTTTTTATTAGCAAGTAATGGTACATGTATACAAGCATGTTTTTTTCCTTAGGCCTGATGTCTTATAGATTTCATTCCAGTTAATAAATCTTGTTGATCGATTGATTGTTTGTTGTTTAATGTCCCTCTTGAGAATTTTTCATTCATATAGAGATGCTACCACTTGCTGGTGTAGGGCTACAAATGTTGACCTATACTCGGCACTCAGGGCCAGTGAGGGATATTATTCGAGCCAGCACTTACTGTGACAAGGGACCTTGGTTTATACAGTCTCATCCAAAGGACCGGTCTCCACGACCCGCAGTGGGATTCGAACCTGCGACGTAAGGATCAACTCCTTACTCCACGACTCTAGAGCAGACACCCTAACCACTGCGTCATGCAGGCGACAAGAAATCTTATTAAAAAGTCTAATAAACTGTAGCTCTGTACATTGTATTTACCCTAAAATGTGCGAATTCAGTGCATCACCAAACTCGATAAATCATGATATCTGTATAACAACATATTGCTGTTTCCTAATTAATGAGAATTAGTTTGTGTATATATATAGTGCAAACATATAGTGCATATGCATATATGCATAGTGTATATGCATATAAACATATCAAGTTTTCAAGCAATAATTAATTAAGTTGAACTTCAGTATCCATGACACTGATATATTGAATATCATGGATATGTTGAAAGGGATTTTGAAGTTCCAAACCCATATTCTTTGGGTATTTTGCCCTGGATATCTTGAATCCTTAGATATAAAGGTTTGACTGTATTTAAAATTTTTGGAGTTTCATTGTTATTCTGCTAACCCAGTTAAGCAGGTATTACTATTTCAATCTATACTATATGTCTTGTTAATTCCTAACCAATACTAATTATCAGACTAGTAATCAATGACTTCCCTAAGTAAGTTGTGACTTATTGACCACTTTCGGGTACATTAAAAGTGGCAGATTCAGGACCCCCCCCCCCACTCCAAGATATTTTTTTTAAATTGTCATTTTTACAACATATTGCATAAATGCGATTGTCTCTTTGCTATATCCAAACACATTGTTCTGTATTGTATTATATGTATTAAAAAACCCAAACATTTACTTATTGTAGTACTCTTAGATAGATTAAAGGCCGACTGAGTCATAATTTTTAATATTATACTTTCATGTAAATTAGTTGAATCTGATTCATCAAGAAACATTTGTTAAAAACACTATTACCCGCTGAATAGTGAAGCCACACCCTCCAGGATAGCAACAGTCGACATTGCTTGACTACAGGTGATATTCCAAAAAAATATTGACTCTGCAGAATTTATGCGCGCAAGGTTCACTGTAATGTGATTGTTTGTTTGTTTGTATGTTGTTTAATGTCCCTCTCGAGAATTTTTCACTCATATGGAGACGCCACCACTTGCCGGTGGAGAGCTGCAAATTTTGTCCTATACTCTGCACTTACGGCCATTGAGCAGTGAGGGATCTTTTTTGTGCCAGCACCTACTGCGACACGGGACCTCGATTTATACGGTCTCATCCAAAGGACCGGTCTCCACGTCCCACAGTGGGATTCAAATCCGCGACGTAAGGATCAACTCCTTACTTAGCGAATCTAGAGCAGGCGCTCTAACCACTGCGCCACGCGGGCGACTCACTGTACTGTGTATTTGTATAAAACATTCAGTATGATATGAAAAATACTTCATGTAGTTGCAATTGAGGGTAACATTGAAAATTTTCACCCCAAGAAAACCATTGTCAACCTCGGCTGTGCATCGGTTGACAATGGTTTTCTAAGAATGAAAATTTTCAATGTTGCCATGGTTACACTCAACTACATGCAGTATTTATATAATACAATCTCAAACTTTATATTACTGAGAAAGAACTTCAAGATATCCAAGGATTCAGGATATCGAGCCTCGGTTGACAATGGTTTTCTTGGGGTGAAAATTTTCAATGTTACACTCAACTTCATGCAGTATTTATTATATTATGCTGAATGTTTTTGCGAATACATATAAAAGTTAACCTTGCATGCATAAATTCTGCGCAGTCACTATTTTTGGAATATCACCCGTCATGA